CCTAAAGATTAGCTGATAAGCTGTGATATTTCTATATAGTGCAATATTTTCTCCTTCCCCTCGCCTTTTTGAAACAGGATCTTATGTAGCACAGGCTGGCCTCAAACTCATCTGTAGCTGAGGATCACCTTGAATTTATGATTCTTCTGCCTTCACCTCGTGGGTGCTGGGATTACAGGCATGCATCACCATGCCCAGTTTTATATGGTGTTGGGGTTGGAACCAGCACTTTGTGCATGCTAGGCAAGCACTCAACCAAGCTACGTTCCCAGTCCAATTGCATTATTAGTCTATGCTAAAAAGAAATAAGCTATCGAGCCATGAAAAGACAGGTAAAAACTACATACTGTGTAAGTCAAGTTATAGACATTCTGTAAACAAAGCAAAACTTGGAGTTAGTATGAAGACCAATGGTTGCCAGGGTTTGTGCAGGTAGAGGGTGAATGGATGAATATATGGACACAGAGGGTTTTGGGAGACAGTGAAACTCTTCTGTACAATGCTATAATGATGTATATATGACTATGCCAATGTCTAGACTCAATAAAATTAAAAGCCAGGCATGGTGGTGCACACCTGTAATCCTAATTCTTAGAAGGCTGAGAACAGACATAAAAATCTCCCGAGGTCTGACATAAAAAGCAATATTTTTAAATTTAAAAATTTTTATATGTATGAGTGTTTTGCCTACATGTAAGTACATCACATGCATTCATGTCCATGGAGGGCAGAAGAGGATGTAGGACCCCTGGAATTGGAGTTATAGACAGTTGTTAGATGCCATGTGGGTGTTGGGATACAAACCCAGTTAAGAGCAGCCAATACTCTTAACTGCTGGGCCATCTGTCTAGCCCCCAAACAATATTTTATTATTATAAATATATTTTGTGGTTCAAGTTTGTGGTTCAAGTAGTACAGATTTACACATTGGCATGTCGACAGTGTGGCTGTTCCCTCAACCCTGGATCCAACAAAAGAAAGACTAATAAGACAAGAACAGGTAGAGGCTCATTGATGTGAAATTCATGTGCATGTGGGAGGAATCAGTTGTTTCCAGAGGTGACTTGGGCCTCCAGCTGACATAAATCTGCAAGAGACAACACTAAATTTTTAGAGAAAGGACAAGACAAAGGAAAAAGACTTTGTTTTGTTTGTTTTGTGGGTTGGATTCTTTTCTATTTTTTGTGAAAATTGTTAATCTTATCTGAGACTATTATTTGCAGAAAATGAAGCTAAGATCCCCAATGCTAGATACAGAAAGCTGTGGAGAATCTAGAAGGTGTGAGAAACCGTGTAGCCCTTTGGCAGTGGCCTGGGATCATCCCTGCTGGGTGGTTCACTGAGCC